GCCAGTGCGAGTTTTAAGCTGCCAGGTCTAGGACTCAAACCATAATCAACCATATGGAGTCCAGTAATGTAACAGTTATACCATATTGCTGACCCCAAGAGATCTAAGTTTTATTATAAACTTACCAGCAACAAATAATTTCCCTATGTTTAATAAGTTATAGTGTTTTGAACCTGTGTCATATATTTTAAACAAGTCTGAAGTTTGCATGCTGAACAGGAAAAAATATCAGTATTAAATGCATGTATTGTTCCAGTGGTTCTCAGTATGTGGCCTCTATTCAGCAGCAGCATCAGGGAACTTGGTGTCCATGCAGACTCTCAGATTCCACCACAAACCAAGTAAATTACTGGAGCAGCATAGTAATGAGTTTTGCAAACCCTCTGGGTGATTATAATACATACTCAATTTTAAGAACCATGGTACTGGGACCAGCAGTTAGCATAATGGCTATGTCACTGGATTCCCATGTAGTTGACCGTGGTTCGAGTCCTGGACCCAGAGGCTTAAACTCACTCTGGTGTGTGTGAGTGCGTGCCCAAAAATCCCAAGAGAAGAATAGAGGAGAAGGGATTGCGGCGTGGCCATCTCCCCTGGGGGGTTGATTTCTCACTTTCTCTCTCTCTGTCTCTCTGTCTTTCTGGTGAGCACACGCGCTCTATAGCAAAAACCTCTCCAAAAGAAAAATAAATAAAGAACCACGGCATTAAACTCATTTCACATAACAACTGCCTGCTAAGGATTTATGTTCAAACTAATTTCCAAGTCAATTAGGTGTTAACATTTATCTAGCAGTTTTATTCTTATCATTTCCCTAGCACTGAGGCTAAATATGTTATACATTTACCATACATTCCCTTAATTCACTTCTGAAGAGAATATTAACCAAGGATTAGGATTATATGTATGATATCCATATAAAGGCATAACTAAGTCCTGCTCTATCATTTGTTATATAAATATATGATTTTTCTCTCAATGGTAATTATGAGTTCTATACCATGATGAGTTCTTAGCACAAAATGCTGTATTTGTAACGATTTCTTCTAACTCATAATTATAGTTTTAAAATCTGTTTTGGATACTGTATGATGATATAATCTTCCTTTCTCTCCAAAGAATTAAGATGTTTCTAGGTTGACAACTCATGTCCTAAATATAGTGAAATAACGGTAGTCATGGTGAGAATAAGACCTCCTGCCATAGCACCTGTTATCTGAGGGAACTTCAAACAGTTAGTGGAAAAATGAAATTGGAAAAAAGTGGAGTATATTTTGGCATCAAAAAATAAAAGTTGAAATGCATACATAGTTTTTTCATGATACATATTTTCTGTGAACTTTTTCAAAGTCTTTGTATAAACTGTAGAGGGCCTTGATATCTGTTTTAGTCATTGTGCCCAAATACCTTGTTTCTATGTACATGTCTGTGAATATTCAAAATTTTGTCAAAGATTTACTTTTCACTGTTGCAAGAAAAGTCTTAATTAAAAAATAAATTTTTAAAAATAATTATTCACTGAATTTTATTATTATTATTATTATTGTAATTATTATTATTTTAAATGTGGTATAGGTCATGTATGAGGGAGAGAGAAAGAGAGCAAGCTACCAGGCCCAAGACTCAAGCCATGGTTGGCCATGGCGGAGTCCAGTGCCTTAACCACCATGCTACCTATTAGTCCTGGAAAAGAAATTATTTTATGGCCATCTTGTTCCTATGTTATTAGCAAAAAGCCTATATGAATGTCCTGTTCTAAAAGAACGTTATAACTATGATATATATCCGTGAAACTTCAGAATTCACACAAGACCTAGTGAAAGTTTAAGCATAACTATTTAAAAGTATTACCTGAATAGGGGTCATAGTGGCATGGTGGTTAGGGGTGCTAGAATCCCACATGGCTGGCCACAGTTCGAGTCCCAGACCTTGCTTTCTCACTTTTACTCTCTCTCACTCTGTCCTCTCTGATCAAATTAAGATAAATAAATAAATAAAGTTAAAAGTATTACCTGAATAAACTGAGTAAGTGTGAAAGAGAATAATTATTACAATTTCAGAACTTTTGTTTGCTTTTATGCTCTTTCTTTGGAGGAAATTTTTTTCACTTTTAAGAGTATTATTTGGAGACAGGAAAGTTTATTGGACCTAATTCTACTCTTGATAGAGAGCAGCTAATATGCATTGTATTCTTACAGTCTATAATCTATCTGCCTAAGGGACAGGAAGGGGCTGGGTTGGATGTACTCTACTTGATCTGCTTGGAGAAGCAGTGGAGGAAAGGCTAAAGATGTGGATTTACAGCTAAATTTCATGAACAGTAAACTCTTTAACAATTTTAAGGAGCTTCCTAGTCAACTAGAGATCTTGTCTCATGATGTCACCTTTGCTTGTCTGATGTTTTAAATAATAAGAAAACAACTGGTTATCTCTTTTTTTTTTTTTTTTCTGGAGAGATTTTCTGCTATAGGGTGTGTGTGCTCGCCAGAAAGAGGGAGACAGAGAGACAGAAAGCGAGAAATCACCCCCCCAGGGGGGATGGCTGCGCTACAATCCCTTCTCCTCCATTCTCCTCTCGGAATCTTGGGCACGCACGCACATGCACCTGGCGTGAGTTTAAGCCACCGGGTCTGGGACTCGAACCGTGGTCGACTACATGGGAGTCCAGCGACATAGCCATTACTCTAACTGCTGGTCCCACAACTGGTTATCTTTTAGAAGAAAGTTAGTGCCTTGAGAGTATGTGTTGAGCTAAATATGTTAGCCCATAAATTATATCCTGAATGCAGCTGGAATCAGAAGCCTCAGGAGGATGTCGCTCTTCAAACAGAGCCAGAGGTTTATGTGCCCAATGGCTGCTAACCTGAGTTTTGTGAAGCTTTGACAAGATATGACATGGACCAAAGGATAAATATTTCTAGATTGAATCTTAATTATAGTCCAGACTGCACTAGCTTTGTAAAAATGCTGTAATTCCTTCATAATAGTTTCAGATCCAACATAAATTACTTTAGGTTACTTTGCCTTGGCAGGAATAAAAAAGAACCTTGGGAAAAATCTAGGACAAATTCCATTCTTTGACCTTTTTAACCAACTCATCCCAAAACTTGTTTACAATCTAATATTTCAACAAAAAATTGAGTGCGTATGTTCTTTTCAAAAGCACATTCTGAAAGCAGGGCTCAGTTTAAGAATGTTTTCTAAGTGACTGCCATCTACTGGTGAAACATTGTAAGTACAATGGAAAAATGTCAAATTTGGGTCACAATTTTTTTGCTCCTGTTTCAATGATATGTTAATAAATATTCCTGAAAATTAAAGTGATTCAATTAAGAATATTAATAATATTTACTTCAATTTTATACTATAGTTATCCATCATGAAAGACACTGTAAGTAATTGACTGTCCTGGTGCAGTTTCAGATTTTGATGTTTTTTAGATGTCTACAGACCTACAAGTGAAATAAATAATAAAACTTTGATAGATTATATTAAAATATCTTAAAAATAAAATGTATCTGTACTCATATCTTAATCATATTTTAAAAGAAAATTTTATTTATTTATTCATTTAAAATATTTATTGAAGGGACCAGTAGGTGACATAATGGTTACATCGCTGGACTCCCTCACAGTTGACCATGGTCTGAGTCCCCATCCAGGCAATTTAAGCTTCACACAGGGTACATGTCTGTGTGTGCCCAAAGTCCCTAGAAGAGAATGAAGGAGAAGGGATTGAGGCGTGGCCATCCACTCTGGGGGGGTGATTTCTTGCTTTCTGTCTCTCTGTCTCTCTGACAAATGCACACACCATAGAGCAAAAAAAAACAGAAAAAACAAAAACAAAAGACCTCTCTAAAAATAAATAAATAAATAAGTACTTATTTATTTATTTATTTATTGAGAACTCACCATGTAGCAGGCCTTGTGCTTGGGAATACAGAACATTCATAATTCTTACCTCATAGAAATTTATATTATTATTATAGTTTAAAAGTATTTTTCTTGATATTTCACTCCCATGTTTTTTAGTCTTTACCTTAGTTATCTATTAAACTCACATAGTAGACATTCAAATATATAAGACAATGAATGATATCTATCTGCTTTTGTCTCAGTGAATGTCTTATAATTGCAAAAATATTTTTCTCAATAATAATCATCCTTCAAATCGTCACATTGCTAAAAAAGTAGTAGATAACTCTGAGGCCTAGAGAGGTTAGACCTATGAGTTTAAAAATAAGAAAAATTCAATATACAGGGGTAAGACAAGAGAGTTGTTCTCTAGCCCTTAAAAATGGAAAGTATATTCTATTATTTCTAATTCTAATCAAAGTACTGAGGAAAAAAAATTTAAAAGAAAAGGCTGTCCTAGATAGGCTATGTACTTGAAATGCTTTACTGTAAGAAAACATGCTCTTAATATTCTCAAACTTAACCCTCTCTACTGTCTCCTTCTTCCCTCAGGTTAAAGTCTGTTAGTTGAGTATAGGACACAATCCTTCCATATTTGACATCTTGCTTATTTCAGAGACTACTTTCCACCACTCCCTACTTTCACTCTGTAATTCAACCACACTCAAATATTTGCATTTCCCTAACCTTTTTCTTATCTGGCTGCCCTACTTTACCTAACTAAACTTCTATTTGTTATGTAGATCACTTACTTGAAATTGGTCCCAAAATGTGTCTTGACCTTACCCCTACCATGAACGCCTCAAGCTTGGATTTCTGTCTGTTCTATTTTCCTGTGAACTCTGCAAGCTCCCATTATAACACATATTACTTCTTCCCTAATATTCTAATTTCCTGTTTGCAAGTTTAAAATCCTTTTTAGTTAATGTCCTACAAACCCAGAATTGGCATATTTATCACTTTACTGTCCTTGTTTAACATAATTTCGGGCATATTCTATATGCTCAAATAACATTTGTTCAATTAATGAATGCAATTTGAGATCTAGTGTTCATATGAAATAATTATGTTTACTTTGTTTTTAGAGTTCGCTATTTAGCCAAGGAAAATATAACCCAGGACCCTGAGGACCACACAGTCTCTTTTGTACAGCCCAATGGCGCCATTTTTGAACCTTCACTCTCAGTGGGAACAGAGAATGACACTTTCACAGTTCTCAATCTGGCTGTCGCAGTAAGTAGACACACACAAAAATGCTGCTTGTTTAAAATTAATCTCATCATTAGAATTACTGGAAGATTTTATTTATTTTGCTTTATGTATAAAAATGTGTTTGTTGTTACTTTGGAGTTATGTCCACCTGGAAAGATAATAAAATTATAATATCAATGAAACTAGAAGTTTTCTTAAACTGCATCTTTGCTTTGTAAAGGATTAATTTAGAATATCTTCTTGTGCTTGGCATTGAGACAGAAATGAAACCACTCAGATTAGACATATTGTACTTTTAATCTTGACAGGATTCGGCAGGAATATTAAAGATACAGTTAAGGGACATTTTTATTAACTATTTTAGTATTTAATACATTTATTTGTCAAAATCTGATATTGTATTAGTACCTTAACCAATGATTTTTTTTTTCTTTTTGTAGGCTGCACCTCATCTCTATCCAAATGCATTTGTCCAAGTGGTACTCAATTCACTTATCAAAAAGTCAAAATCTTCCATGTTCCAAGTCAGAACTGTGAAGGAACTGTTGTGGGGCTATACAGACCCATTCTTGAGTTTAGTTCCATATCCTATTACTACCACCATTGGCGTGTTTTATCCCGTAAGTACCAAATACGAATGGTGATACTGCTTCATTTTAATTGGATAAGTCCAATGACTTTGGTAGGGTATCATTTTGCAACTTAGTACCTTAGCCCAATTGTTTATCTAGGAATATATATCCTAACTAAATAAACAAAAAATCCTTATCTCATATGGCTTTAGCTTTTCTAGTTGAGAAATTTATGTGAATTTGGTTAAATGTAAAGTTAAGCGACTGAGACTTAATATTTCTACTCTTTTATAGTTACCAATTTGTCAAAATTAGTTTTTAAATGTAAATCTTTTGACACTATTTTTGGTTTTGATACTTCTTTTTCACAAAATTAAGTTGAATACCACAATTTTATTAATGTTAAATGTATTTACGGATCATTCCTTCTTCTCTAAAAAAAAAAAAAATCTTACAGATTTGTTTGGTGCTAAAATTGTAAGGCCTAAATTTGCATGTGTGGAGACTAATTAGTCAAAAATCCTTTTTTTTTTTTTTTTTTTTTTGGCTGAAGTATTGGCCTTAGGGCACTTGTGCTGGGGAAGGGGAGTGGCTGGAAAGAGAGACAAAGAGAGGGAAAGTGAGATCACTCCCCATACTGAAAAGGGAAAAGGCCATGCAGAAATCCCTTTTCCTGGATTCTCCTCCTGGAATCTTGGGCATGCATGCACACATGTGCCTGGCATAATTTTCAAGCCACCAGGTTCAGTACTTGAACCGTGGTCAGCCATGTAGGAGTCTAGTGATATAACCACTGGTCACCCCAAGTCTGTATTTTTAATTGGTTTTGGTAATAAGAACTTTCAGTGGTCCATAAACATCATGAGACAGCAATTTAGAGATTTAGAGAAATGTGAACTTGGTACTGTACTTAAATTGTCTTAATGTTTTGATTAAAAATAGGACATGGTGACTATTGAACTGGAATTTTGACTATGATTTCATTTGTACTATGTGTCAATATTATAGTCCCCTGTTCATTGTTATTCCTTTGCTTTTAGAGAGTGTTTAGAATGATGAAGTTATGTATCAATGAAATTGAATGTAGAAATTCTCAGTAGGTCAGCAATTCAATTATTATTTTAACTCAAATACTTATGATTTTTTCTTTATCTAATTCTTTTAAATTTTACATAAATAATATTTAAAGATGATGACATTTAGAATGCCTCTATAAACCTATTCTTATTCTCATACGTTTTATTCAATGTCCCCTCACCTCAGTGAACTAGCAGTAGTGGTTATAGAGTGCTAGTGTTTGGACAATGTCGACTTCTGATGATGTTTTGCTTAGCCTCAGTCTCTACGCTTATTTCAGCCTCTATACTTATTCTAATTTCATTCTTTGAAAATGTTTTCAAGGTCAAAAATTTGAAAACTTTATTACATATATATTTCATATCATATAATTACAAATAACCAGTGTCAGAAAAACGTAAAACCAATCATAGAGTTTATAACTTGGAAAATATGACTTGTTCCAGAAGTAATTTTTCTTCTACATATCTTTTCAGTACAATAATACCGTAGATGGAGTTTATAAAGTTTTCAATGGAAAAGACAACATAAGCAAAGTTGCCATAATTGACACTTACAAAGGTAAAAAGTAAGTATCTGGTTAGTGAGTGAGTGTGTGTGTGTGTGTGTGTGTGTGTGTGTGTCTGATACTAGGGTTCTTTAAGGCAAATGGGATATTTGTTTAGCAAGTTGTAAGGCACCATCACCAACCTATGAAACAGACATGGTTATATCTAGGCCCTGGAAACTCCTGTTCTGTTAGGTATTAACCCTTTAGCCATCCCACACCCACACATAGCTGTTGACTCTCAGCCCTCTTACGGTTTGATTTACCTTTAGGCACAGGTTTTATTACATAAAGAAATCCTAAGGGACTATTTATCACTACTGCCTATCCAGCCTTGCTGTATAGCTGTATAATTAGATAGCCATAAATGTAACATAAAAAAATTAACTTATCAACTGATTGTCTAATAGGTAGGCATATATATTTTGTTGTTTTTCATTTTAATTAAAAAATTAAAATAGGGGAACCAGCAGTTAGCGTAATGGCTATGTCGCTGGACTCCCACGTAGTCGACCGCGGTTCGTGTCCCGGACCCGGTGGCTTAAAACTCACGCCGGGCGCGTGTGCGTGCGTGCCCAAGATCCCGAGAGGAGAATGGAGGAGAAGGGATTGCTGCGTGACCATCCCCCCTGGGGGGTGATTTCTCGCTTTCTGTCTCTATGTCTCTCTCTGTCTGTCTGGCGAGCGCACGCGCCCTACAGTGAAAATCTCTCCAAAAAAAAAAAAAATTAAAATTAAAATTTTGCATTTTAGTGGCATGACCTAAGCAAGTCAATGAAGACGGAAACTTATTGAATCCATACGGGCTATTATAGGATTTTCTCCATTCAGTCTCAAAACTATCATTCTATATTGATAGTTCAGCATTTTTTACCTTTATCAATGCAAAAATAGAATTGCTGTTTCAAATGCAGTGCTACTTATATATTAAATGGGAAAATAAGGATTATGCCACTTTAGAAGTGTTAAAAGAACAAGATTATAAAGCTATCATTTTGTTTCCCAGCTTCTGCCTATTTATCCAAGGGATTCATAGTCTATTAGATGCATAAAATAGGAAGAACCCCCCAAACAAAAATACTAAAGGAAAACGCCTTGTTTTCTTTTCCTTAAAGTTCATAGTTGTGCTTTAGACTAGCTCTTTCCTGTAAAAGAATAATCAAAACTAAAATAGAGTCCATCTTTTTATTAATACAAGTAACTACTCCTCAAACTGAATTTTTATGTTATGTTGCATGTAACAATTAAATATTTACTAGTATAATACTTTTTTTTCCCTTAAGAATCCATAGTTACATGTATTTATGGAAAAGCCTAATGGAAGAAAACATTCATTTTAGGAGAAGTTACATCAATGTTTGCATAGTGAGAAACAATGAACATTTCACTCCTTTTCAACATTATGGGGAGGTTTTGAGGACAGTTTCTAGTGTTTCTTATTAGAATAAGAATTTTACGTTAAGATTGTGACAGCGTTGATTAAATTCATCATGGCAACACTGGGCATGTATGTTTGTTTGTTTTGCTGTAAAAAGCATGTGCTCCCCAGAGAGAGAGAGACAGTGAGAGAGAAAGTGAGAAATCACCATCCAGGGTCATGGCCACACCACAGTCCCTTCTCCTTTCTCCTCCTGGGATTTTAGGCATGCATGCACATGCACCCGGTGTGATTTTCAAGGCACTAGGTCAGGTACTTGAATCATGGTTGTCAATGTGGGAGTCCAACACCATAACCACCTACTGTCCCCATGAGCATGATTAATAAGTTACTCTATTTTAAGAAGAAACAACAACTCATGTAGACATCTTACTGGAATATGGAATATGTTCAGAGTTGTGAAAAAATAGTTTTGTTTTTTTTTTCCTATCACCAAAAAATGGCTGAAGATGAATGAAAACTCATTGTTATTTATTAAGTTTTAATTTATTTATAGATTTTTATATAGAGCACAAGTGCTTAGGAGAGAGAGAGAGAGAGAGAAGGTGATAAATCACCTCCAGGTGGATGTCCACTCTGAAATCCTTTCTCCTCCAGTCTCTACTCAGACTTTGGGGCATGCATACACCCATGCCCAGTAAGATTTTCTGGACTCCAGGTCCTGGACACGAACTGCATAGCTGACCATGTGGGATCCCGAGCCGTAATCTCCATACCACCTGCTGGCCCATTACTGTTATTTTTATTCATCTCCAAATATATATATAGCTTAAGTAGACTCCAAAGCACTGATTAGTCAGCTCTGGCCTACTTTTATGTCAGTCCATACAAGAGTTAGAAAGGCAAAACCATATAAGGTAATTATGTCCAGGTTTTGAATTTTCATTGATCCAAACATTTGCTTACCTTTCTTTCTGCCCATTCCTCTCTTTAATCTCCTATTAAATTTACACTAGTGACCCACTTAAATAATTTTCTCTTATTCTATCTGAGCATTTATCAGACTATCAAATAATTCATTTTTTTTGCTGGAAAAAAATAGATTTCCCCTAAGTATAAAATATTTTCAAACTTTCTTTCAGAACTGTATATATTCCAAGTTGTTTCTAATTAACTTAGCATTTGGCAGTTGTTTTATGACCTGATCACTTAATGGTATCAGGCACTTAATTTATTGCAATAAGATTAAAACGTAAAAGAAAACATGGATCATATGAATTGGAACATTTCTTAAGTAGCCGTTGTCACATCTAATCTTTATTAGAGAATTATCAAATCATAATAGCAAAAAGTAATAAGGGAAAGGTACTCTTAAAATGAGAATGTTTGATCATTTTCTTTCTTTTTATTCCACAGGAATCTCTCCTATTGGCCAAGTTATTGTGACATGGTTAATGGCACAGGTAAGGACATGCATTTTGTGGTCATATTCACAGGAACTCTTACCATCTTGTTCCATGAATCCATCATCATGTGGCCAGTGTTGTAAAGGTTGAGTATGTGTTTACCTGTCTTCACATCACCACAACATTATTTGCTCTTTATTTTTACCTAGCATTAGTAAATGCTTAAGGTGATAAGGTGTCCAAAAATTAGCTACAGCGGATTTTCTCTTAACTGCATTACTAAGCAAATGTTTGCTTTGCAAAAACTGCAATCCTGGCAACAGATGTAAATATTACAAAGCCAAACCAACACAACACCTTAGAGAAGTAGTTACTAGTCAAATCTTTTGTAATAGTTACAGTTAACAACTTGAAATGGAAAGAATTAAAACAATCAAGATAACGACAAAAGGGAAAACAATACTTCTAAATGAGGTTGAACCCTCATGTAAAGCCCCATGGGAGGGTATTTCATCTTTCTCTGGTGAGCACACACCCTCTGAAAAGAAAGAAAGGAGGAAGAAAGGAAGGAGAAAGTATTTTCAATCAGAATAAAGAAAAAAGAGAATTATAACCTCAGATTTAGGATCTAGTTAGTTCTGGCATTTAATTCTTGAAGAAAAGGAAAATACACATATTAGTCTAAGAATTAAGATTTTAAAAAGCAATGGGGATCAAATACCATGATACTATTAACGTCTGATGTCAGTTTTCAACTACCAAGAAATAGGCACACCGTGTTTACGAAGTTTGTGAGGAAAAAAATATATGTAATGACACAAAGTAGATGAGGGATGAGGCTATAGGACAATATATATAATGAAAACTATGAAAGTTAAATAAAAGGTAAGACAGAATGTTTGCTTTTCCAAGCATATAATTGAGTTTTGCCTGGTCATTTAAATTTCTTACTGCTTTGTAGCAAAAATACTCCTGAACTTCCATTGTAGGGTTTTGAGTCCATGAGAAAGAGTGAAAAAATTTCTTTTTTTTGAGAGGTTTTTGCTATAGGGCGAGTACACTCGCCGGAAAGGCAGAGAGAGACAGAGAGACAGAAAGCGAGAAATCACCCTCCAGGGGGGATGGCCACACTGCAATCCCTTCTCCTCCATTCTCCTCGGGATCTTGGGCACACAAGAGTTTAAGCTCCTGCCCAGCATGAGTTTAAGCCACCAGGTCCGGGACTCAAACCGCGGCTGACTACGTGGGAGTTCAGCAACATAGTTCAGTTCTCTCAACATGGGAGACCAGCTAACTGCTGGTCCCAAGTGAAGAAATTTCTAAGTAAAGCATTACTGCAAATAAATTGTTAAGTGCCTCGGTACTGCTAACTCTAGTCATTTCATAGCATAATGCCTAGTCCTTAGATATAGAGAAAAACCACACTGTACTGCTTTTAAATATGAAAGTATTCTTTAAAACCTTGAGAATATCTATCTATCTATCATCTATCTATCTTTATATGTGTGTGTGTATATATATATATATATATATATACTTGTTTTATTTCTTTTTTGAAAGCACCAGAGTAGAATGTTGTTAATTACACTGTAGTAAACATGAGGTACACTTCAACCTAGGTAATCTGGAACTCTGAAAAGAATATTTACAGCAGAATCAGGATAAGACCATAAAGTATCTTTGCTTACAAGACATTTATTTAAAAACGGAAAGTGCATACTTTTGATGCTTAATCATTATTTTGAAACAGAATTGAATTGACGTGTACTTGTTATGAAACCATTTTGTGTGCATATATATATATATGTGTGTGTGTGTGTATACACACATACATATATACACATACACATTTTAAACATTTATTTCCAAAGCTTAGGGGTAGATAAGTTTTTTTTGGGGGGGAGGGAAAAGTTTCTGCAATAGGGCATGTGGGCTCACCAGACAGACAAACAGAGACAGAGAGACAGAAAGCGAGAAATCACCCCCCAGGGGGGGATGGCCACGCCCCAATCCCCTCTCTTCCGTTCTCCTCTCAGGATCTTGGGCACGCACACACATGCACCTGGCATGCGTTTTAAGCCACCGGGTCCGAGACGTGAACTGCAGTCAACTACATGGGAGTCCAGCGACATAGCCATTACGCTAACTGCTGGTCCCTGGGGGGTAGATAAGTTTGACAAGAAGAGGTAGAGGATTTATTAGGGACTATAATGTAAATACATGAGCACTGGATATGAGCTTAAAAATATCTAAGAAGACAGAAGTAACTCAAATTAGGAAGAGAAGTAGGTAGTTCAAGGAAGGGGGCAGTCCACTGACAGTAATTACAGCACGAAGGAGAAGAGATAAATGAAAGAGAAAAGATCCAAGGTGTTTTCATCCTGATCTAGAAGTGCATCTTTTACCTACTTCATTACATTTGAAAAACAGAAAATGAAAATGTTGATGTATATTTAGATTGTATCTTTCAATGAAAAAAAAAAAAATCAAAAGCCCTGCTAATTTCAGTTACCTTGTGGTCATTACCTGTGGTAATTTCTGGGTATAATTATGACATAATCTTTAGTGATATTTCAGGTAAGTTTTTTTAAGTTTCATTGCATTTTCATTGTTAAGGTACTGGGAGGATAGTTGTAGGTAATGGCTATACAGGGACCTCTATGTGGAATATAAGCTCCACTTTAATGGTAGAATGGTAGAATTAAATGGCGGTTACAAGATTACTGTAGTCTCGTGATATTTTCCTAATTACAGAAGTGTGAATGAAAGGTAAAGTCACAGGTTGAAACACTTGATGGAAAAACAACCTGTAATACCTAAGTAAAGAATGGGAGGGACCAGCAGTTAGCATAATGGCTATGTCGCTGGACTCCCATGTAGTTGACTGCAGTTCACATCCCGGACCCGGTGGCTTAAAACTCTCGCCAGGTGCGTGTGCGTGCATGCCCAAGATCCCGAGAGGAGAATGGAGGAGAAGGGATTGCGGTGTGACCATCCCCCCTGGGGGGTGATTTCTTGCTTTCTGTCTCTCTGTCTCTCTCTGTCTGTCTGGCGAGTGCACGCGCCCTATAGAAAAACCTCTAAAAAAAAAAAAAAAAAAGAATGGGTCTTACCATTTTAAACACATATTCAGTGGTGGCTTGTATTGGTGATATTTAATTTATTTGAGGATCAAATTGAGGAGTTACTAGTTGTTTCTTCATATACCCAATGTGTGCCAGAGATAATAGCTGTGGTAGACATTCAGTAGACTCAATAAATACGTTTTTTTTCACGTATGACAGATATGTTTTCTGAACATTTGCAGGAAATTTTTAGCGAGAGAAGTTTAGTAAATTGTTTTTTTAAAAAAATATTAATCAGGCGGGAACCGGCGGTTAGTGTAATGGCTATGTCGCTGGACTCCCACGTGGTCGACCGCGGTTCGCGTCCCGGACCCGGTGGCTTAAAACTCACGCTGGGCGCGTGTGCATGCATGCCTAAGATCCCAAGAGGAGAATGGAGGAGAAGGGATTGCAGTGTGCCCATCCCCTAGGGGGGTGATTTCTCGCTTTCTGTCTCTATGTGTCTCTCTGTCTGTCTGGAGAGTACACACACCCTATGGTGAAAACTTTTCCAAAAAAAAAATACATATTAATCAGGTATTAGGGCAGATGCATGAGCCATTATTAAAAATAAGAACAGGAGTTATAGCAGGAGTTCTAAGTGAAATTTATAATAAGAATAGTGCTTGTCGACTGATGGGGTGCAATATTTTTTTTTCCCCCACTCTAGGGTTTTTGCCATAGGGTACATGTTCCCTCTGGAGAAAAGCAGAGAAAGGGAAAGTAGGCAACCAAACCCCAGAGGGGATGGCTATACTGAATCCCTCACCTTCCAGGTTCCATTCGGAATTTTGAGCACACATATCCAGCAGAATTTTCAAGCCACCTGGTCTGGGACTCAAAGCATGGTCGATCATGTGGGAGTCCAGTGCCTTAACCAACTTGCCCTGGGGTATTTCAAAAAAGCAAACATAATCTCAGCTTTAACAATGTCTGATTTTACCATTTTTTAAAAATGTTTATTTTATACCAATGAAGGACTATAGTATGCAGATTCATTATTTAATATGGTAGCTGCTACCATAGTGGCTATTAGATACTTTGAAATGTGGCTAGCATAAATAGAAAAGTGCTGTAAGTGAAAACACACACTAGATTTTAAGAATGTAAATTATCTTGTTTTTTAATTGAATACATTTTGAAATATTGATATTTTGGATATATTGTGTTAAATAAATATCTTTTTAAAAAATATTTACTTAATTTTATCTATTATTATTATTATTATTTTAATTTGCTGTGGGGCACATGTGCTCACCAGAGAAAGAGAAGGAAAGTGAGAAAGCAAGCTGCCAAGTCCAGGACTCAAACTGCAGTTGGCCACGTGGAATCTAGCACCTTAATCTCCCTGTCACCTGCTGGCCCTACCTATTTCTTTTTACTTACTTTTAACGTGACTACTAGATAATTTTTAAATTACATGCATAGTTTGTATTATATTTCTATTGACCACACTGAATAAAATTTCTAAATTTTTCTAGAACACGCGTTATGTCTAATTGTTTGACAATGACTTATTTTTAAACAGATGCAGCCTCATTTCCACCTTTTATTGAGAAGACCCGGGTTTTGCAATTCTTTTCCTCTGACATTTGCAGGTAAGAGTACTGACATGTGTCTTTGAATCAGAATTTTCTTTACAAGTGACAACATATGGACCAAGAAACTCTTACTTAATAATCATATTGTTTTAGAAAAATAAAATATATTTAGGGATTCTTTTTCTTTCTTTTTTTTTTTTTTTTATTCTTTTGGAGAGATTTTTTTTCTATAGATCATGTGTTCTTGTCAGAGAGACAGAAAGAGATAGAGAGACAGAAAGCCAGAAATTACTCCCCAGGTGATATGCCCACACCATAATCCTTCCTCCTCCATTCTCCTCTTGAGATTTTGACCATGGGTCCAGTGACATAACCATTATGCCATCTGCTGGTTTCAGGGAAATGTCTTAAAAATAAGTATGGAATTTACACTGTTTATTAACTCTACAAAATATCCTTCTATGACCTTCAGCTTTTTATAATACAAATCATTTTATTTGCCTAAATAAGAACTATCTTTTCATCTTTTTACTAGACCAATAGTATATTTAATAAATATAGAATGGCATGCCTAGTCTTTCTAAAGATAACCTAGAGAAGATGATGCAACTGTCACAGAGCAGCGTGTTGAATGCGCTCTCCTGCCACAGTGCCATCTCTCCAAGTCAATGGGGCCCAGTAGATACCACACAAGCACTGGATCCCATGCTGCTACCCTTTCACCTTCACCCTAACCTGAGGCTGGGTGATTGGGATAAGCATTTAATATCTCTGAATCTTTTTTTTTCTTATTGGTAAAATTGAAGCAAGTCATGTTTGTTCACAGAGGGTTACTGAGGAATTTGGAAGGAAAGTGTATTGAGCCCTAGCGTATTGCCCAGGTCAGGGTGTTTACTGGAAACCACCAAGTTGTATGAGGTGTGCACATGCACATACCCCAGCCAGTGAGTGACTCCTCTTCCTAGGAGTAAGTTCTGAAAGACAAAAGCTTCATGTTTGTTTAGTTTAAATTGAGTACAAATAAACAATTTGAAGGAAGTTACATAAATATTAGGAGACTTCAAAAAGTCTGTGGAAAATGGATTAAAATATAAGTTTTTTTTTTTACACTTTAAAAATTTACAGTTAATTACAGCATGTTTTTTTCCCAGTGGGAATGCAGTACATATCAATCAAGTCAAAGATATTATCACACACATTATCATCAACAGATAATTAATTTTGTGTCTGTTAAATGTTTTAATTAGAAGTTCATCCATAGTTTTTTCATAATACGAATTTTCTATGAACTTTTGAAGCCCTCCTCTCCGTTGCCTCATACTTAACCTGTAGAAGAAATTACCTATGAGAAGTATTTTCAGTATAAATACTGTATGGTAGTTCATAAGCAAAACTTGTCCTTAGAAGATTTTGAGAACAAAGGTAAGAATAGTTTACTCTCAGGAATCTAGTTTTAGTATGTTATAATTTTATAAGAATTTTTTTTCCTTAAGGTTGAAATGATAATCCAGAATTCTAATCAAAGTATTGACTTTTTAGGTTGAAGCAAAAACATCTCTAGAATGCAGTTCCAATTCCTAGAATGAAGTTGTTTTTTGTTTCTTTCTTCAAAGATATTTTTCTGTGTGTGTGTGTGTGCGTGTGTGTGTGTGTGTGTGTGTGTTTAGGTCTATCTATGCTGTATTTGGAGCTGATATTAATCTGAAAGGAATCCCTGTGTATAGATTTGTCCTTCCAGCCAACGCCTTTGCATCTCCACTTCAAAATCCAGACAATCATTGTTTCTGCACAGAAAAAATTATTTCAAAAAATTGTACACTGTATGGTGTGCTAGACATTGGCAAATGTAAAGAAGGTGAGCAAATATTCTTAGTATGATGGTCCTTATTATAACCTTGGCCAAAAATTCCTTTTCACTGAAACTTGAAATTAAAGGAAGTAATAACAGCAGATGGCAGCAATTGTTAGGGTTAATTTTGTATTGTTTTTCAGGTTCAAATTGTATTTTAGTGTTGCCAAAAATAATTACCTTTAGGCAAAACTGCACCAGTGTTTTCCTATGCTGTTTTAAAGTTTGCTTTAAAATATATATATATATATATATTGAGAGATTTTTGCTATAGGGTGGGTGCACTCGCCAGAAAGTCAGAGAGAGACAGAGAGACAGAAAGTGAAAAATCTTCCCCCCACTACCCCCAGTGGGGATGGCCACACTGCAATCCCTTCTCCTTCATTCTCCTCTCTGGATCTTGGGCATGCATACACACGTGCCTGGCGTGAGTTTAAGCCACCGGGTCTGGGACTCAAACCGTAGTCAACTACATGGGAGTCCAGTGACATAGCCATTAGGCTCACTGCTGGTCCCTCCAGAATATTATTGATCCTCCTAAATTATCATCTGCTATTGTTCTAGATTTCTTTTCTCTAAAAATGGTAAATGAAAATAAATATTTCCAGTATGTCTCTAAAACAGGAATTGGCAAACACGTAATTTGGTGTGTGTTTTATCATGCTCATATTCCTAATACTGAAGAGGGTGTAGATAAAGAACAAAAAGAAAAAAAACCCACTTTTTGAGAAATTAATTTTCACTTCAAAGACATATTACTACTTGAAACATGAGCATACATTATTGAACTTTGTGTTCAGCAGCTAAACTTTACATACTGACAATTAATACATTTGCTTAATAGAATGATGCAGAATTGTATATCATATTTTTGTGTTATACTTTGTATATTTAGGATCTTATGCTAAAATTCTTCTCAACCCTCATTTCCTAATCAGTATTCAAATCAAACTATGTATTTTTTTTAATCTGAGAATTTTTTTTCAAGGAAATATTATTTGAGTGATATGTTAGATAAAGAAAGTGATTTATTCCCAATTGACTTTTAAAACTTATTTCAGGAAAACCTGTGTACATTTCACTTCCTCATTTTCTACATGCAAGTCCTGAAATTGGTGAACTTATTGAAGGTTTGAATCCAAATGAAGAAGAACATAGCACATACTTGGATGTGGAACCTGTAAGCAAATATATTATTGATCCGATTTGGTTAATGTTTTCTTTTAAAAATGAATGAAAAGATAATCTTGTCATTCATACTTACTGGCTATATTTATTGAATCATGTTTTTATTAAATTACTAAAACTTTCTGTCAGGGAAAACTATATTGATTTCTTCCTATTACTGCTTATGAAATGCAAAGAAAAATGATAGTTTTAGCATATGGATTTTTTTCCCTAAGTTTATTTCTTCAATGAAAGAGAGAGACACGTGCACCGTAACAGAGTTGTGAACCGCCTCCAGCCCCAACAAGCCTGGGTCATGGGTATGTGCATGATCCTTGGTGTTACAGGAAGGCTGCGGGATGTGAACTGGGAACCTTCTCATACTGGTCCAGTTTTGTTACCACTGCACCTTTGTTACCATCTGGCCTCCAAATGGATCTTTATAAGTCTCTTTAAAGTTTATTTTTATTCATAATATAGACTAGATGTGTGTACATGGGAGAGAAAGCACCTCCCAACGGCAATCCTTTTCCCTGCAATTCCCCACCTTGTCAGGATCCTGGGCATATGTGTGCAAGCCCAGTATCAAACAAGTGAAGACAGGTTTGGGACTCTGGTCTTCTATGTGGAATCCAATTTTCTCTGTGTGGTGCCTAACTTCTGTGCCACAGGACTGGCCCTATAAGCCTTTTTAATTATCCATAAGTAAAGAATACAAATTGATTGAAAACAGTTTTATATAATTACTGTTTGTCCGTATATGGTACTTATATTTAGAGTCACTGTATGCTATGAGGGAGTAAAAGAGATTTTATCCGTATATATAAGTTCAGGGTAATATTTATTATATTTAGCATCAAAATAGTCTATCAAAATTGTTCTAGCACCACCGTTTTACTGTTTAAACTATTTTAATATTCTCATTTTCAAAAGTTGAGTGAAATTCCAAAATTTTAGTAGCCATGTTTAAGTTTAAACTGATAATTCATAAATTTTGTCTTAATATATATTTGATCATGTATAGTTCAAAAATCAACTGTCTGAGCTCTGAAATTTTGTTATTGCTGCTGGTGTTGATGTCCTCAAAACCATTTAGGTAAATATTACAAATCTAACTAAACCCTTGACATAAAGTTAGGCAAAGAAATTGTGTTTATGTGTGTATATAATATATAAGTCTGTGGATGTGGTATGTACATACATATATATGTAATTAAACTATATAATAGTTATATATACATATATTTAATAGGTCCAATTAATTAATTGATTTTTACAAGTTTCAGGTCTGGCTGTTTCATATTTTTTGAAAGAACTAATATAATAAAAATAAATTCTATGTATTCTGAATGAATATTTGAAAAGAAGCTGGTAATTATTTTAGTTTATTCTCTCTTTAGATAACTGGATTCACCTTACAATTTGCAAAACGGCTACAGGTCAACATATTGGTCAAGCCAGCAAAAAAAATTGAGTAAGTCTCTTTTTATAACTTGTAGAATTTTATTTTAAGAATGTATATAAAACTATTAAAGTAAATAGAATGTGAACAACTTTTTGCCCTAATATAATTCAATGGTAACTAATAAGTGATTATGATAACTTACATTTGTAATTTAGAATCATATCTAATGTTTATTAGCATGTTATTTACACATATTTTGGAATGTTTTTGAGTATGCAGTAGTATCTTATTTTACTAGGTGTCCAATTATTCCTAATACAGTTTCTAGAAAACATATTTTACTTTACTGGGTAGAAGTTGTTAAAAGAAAAAGTGTGAGTTTAGAGAAAGTCAGAAAGCTGAATTAGAAATATTCGTGAGTGAAGTCTGAGAAACATCTATATTAAAATTTCAATGATGAATTATAGAGAACAAAATTAAGAAACTTAACTAATATACAAGAACAACTGATTCCTGAACCTTTATTTGTACTAGCAATTCCTAAAATGTCTGTTATATGTGTATGAACAAATTGGTATACATTTTCTAATTATTGTCAATGTATATCACAGGGCATTAAAGGGACTAAAGAAGAACTATCTGGTGCCTATCCTTTGGCTTAATGAGGTATTTTAATTTTAGTCATTGTATGTATACATGCAGTTCCAAGTAAACCAGAACTCACTAAATATTACAGTGCTTATAGAGGCCGGATTAGCGTAGGCATAGGCATTTTATTCTATCATGTGCCATGCTATCTCATTTTAAATTACCAGAGGGCATGTTTGCTCACTAGAAAAACAGAGCATCCCTCAGTGAGGTGTGGTCATACAACACTCCCTTTTTCTCTATTCCTTTTTCCAGTCAAGACTTTTAGGCAGGAATACTGATGGGCCTGGCATATTTTTTCCAACCACTGGGGCTGGGATTCAAACCATGGTGGGTCATGTGGGATCTAGCTACTATAACTTCTGTACTAAATGGCCAGCCCCTGAAAAACCTGTTTTTGGTATAAACCACTGAATTGATTAATGACAGAATTAGGAAATGCATTGCATAAACCTTTAGTGCAGTTGAAACTGTTGAACCTTGTCATTTCCTGTCACTGAAAAATAGTACTTGGAAAATTGTGAAATGTTTCAGACAACTCTGAAGAGCTAATGAAACCTAGTACTATGTCGAAAACTGTAAAGCATATTTACAAGGAAGGGGATTATATTTTAGTCTAACTTGGCACTTACTATTTTCTTTACTATGCAAAGGATCATTGACTTGTCTAAGTGTTTGGAGAAAAGGATGATACATAATTGGAGGGTATGAGTATTTTGCTTCACTAATTTACCAAAATAATGCTAATTACTAATTTGATTACAGACTGGTACCATTGGAGATGCGAAAGCCGAAATGTTTAGAAATAAAGTGACTGGAAAAATAAGCCTTCTTGGCCTGGTAGAAATGGTCCTCCTCAGTGTTGGTGTGGTGATGTTTGTTGCTTTTATGATTTCATACTGTGCGTGCAAGTCAAAGAATGTAAAATAAGTAAGTATATACTAAAAAAAGTGTTACTTAAATAATGATATAATTACTTATTTTAATTTTATCAAAGAGTGGTTATATATTAGGCCACTCACATTTCTGAACATGTCTAGATAACTATCATTTTTAAAAATACATCCTCCAACTTTTGAGGTGTTTAATATAAGTTAAGACACAAATGAAGGCTGAATGAGTAGATAAAACCTGTGAATAACAAGAGATCAGCCAATTTTATTTTTAATTTGGGGAAGAATGAAAATAAAAATAGATGTAACTGTTACCTTCATAAAAGTACCACAAATATATTGGGTTGTCAGGAAGGTCATGACTCATTTTTTTTAAAAGAAAAGCAGAAAAAATATGTCATGACTATTCTGACAACTCAATACCTTTTGTCAAAAATTCTGATTGGTTCATTTCTTGCTTATTTATAGCTAGTTAATTCCTTTAAAATGACAAATAGATCATGTGTCACTAAGAAAGCTTATGTAAGTTTAAATCGTGAAGAGAGTAAAATTGACAAGGGAAAGAAAACTGAATAAGAAACAAAAGATAGAGATCAATATGAAAATACACTATTTAAAAACCACCGTAAAGATTTATAAAATAAAGATAATATATTAATATAAAAATGGGATTACTGCCTGTAGATATGCTGGCCAAGTCATCTAAATCCAGGATGTCGATTCTTAGATATTTAGTATAAACTCCTGATGAACAATTAAATATCATGGTCTAAAATTTGAATATAATGACTTAAGAAAATAGAAGAAATTAGCATACCAAATCATTCAGCAGTTATAGGAAAACCCCGGTAAATGTGAGCACATTTCAGAGTCTTGGCAATGTTGCAGAGGGGTTGAGGACTCTGTGCTTCAGACGTAAATGTCCGTTATCTCCAATGAGTGCCTAAGTCTAACTTCCCTAAATGGAAATCTTTTTATGAGAGAACTTTCAGAGAAAATTTTACAATTCCCTCATAATTTCCATTAGCTCTACTTTCTAAAAACACCTCAAAAATATATAATATATATGAAAGCGACATGCTTGCTATGCAAATCACAACTTCAAAACAAGTTTTTTTGTTCTGCTTCTACAGAATATTGACTATCAAGTGTCTTAAATAGAAACTTTGGGCTTGTCATAGATGGTAATTAATGTTTGTTGAGCTTTTGCTACGTACTAGGACGAAGTGAGCTATACATTTAATGTCTAATACAATTTAATGATAGCCAGGATTCATCAGCTCCTTCTGTCTTCTGGAGAAGGATTATAGACTTCACACATTTTAACAGATGTAAAATTGCCTGATCACAGTGTGAATCCATCAAATTGATCATTTTTGAAAAAAAAAAAAAAAACAACTAGGTTTTTGAGATCAATTTTTTTTTTTGAGAGTAAAAGTTTGTGCTGGGGAGACAACCTAGTTTTATTATATCTGCCACTATTTACTAACAACAACAATGACAAAGCACTAAACAGTGCTGCCTACAGTCTGTTTGGGCAGAATGTGTTGAAAATGTAATCTAAAATATTTGCTTTATAATAAATTTAATACCTGTCATCAGCCCAGTAGCAAACAATTTCTGATGAAATAAAAATATTCACATGACAATTTCTATAATATATTAAAAAGATCATCTAAAGAAAAGTCAAACAAAATAACAAATAACTTGTTATGTTGGGAAAACATGCTTTTCAAAAGGAATTATAGTAATCATAACTTTTTCCCACTGAGGATTCTACGTTGAAACTACATGATAGATTTCATTATGGCATAATGAACCCTGGATGTTCTATTCCTTGGGTTCATATGTAACTAAATTATGGTGAAGAACTTAAAGTTTCCAGAGTGCCTTTGTCAGAAAATATAACTGTTATGAGGAAAAATTACTACCCTTTATTTATTTATATTTTAGAGAGAGATTTTTGCTACAGGGCATGTACACTTGCTGGAGACACAGAGACAGAGACAAAGTGAGAAAACACCCCCCACGGGGAATGGCCATGCTGCAATGCCTTCTCCTCCATTCTCCTCTTGGGATTTTGGGCATGCACACACACATGCCTGGTGTGAGTCTCAAGCAACCACGTCTGGAACTTGAACTGCAGTTGGCCCTGTGGAAATCTAGCACCTTAACCGCCATGCCACCTGCTGGCCCCACTACCTTTGTAAAACTATATTTTTTTCTTATAAATAGAAAATTTTTTCTTTGTAAATTACTCAATTTACTATATTTACAAGAATTACAGGAGATGTAGATTTAACTAAATAAACATCAGTTTTGAATATTCTATAAGTTATGTCTTTAAGAAGATCAGTGGGGACCAGCAGATGGCGTGGTGGTTATGTCGCTGGACTCCCATTTGGCTGACCATTGTTCATGTCCTGCATCTGGTGGCTTGAAAATCACCCCAGGCGCCTGTGCGTGTGTGCCCAAGATTCCAAGAGGAAAATGGAGAAGGGATTGCAGTGGGGCCACTCTCCCTTGTGGGGGTGGTGATTTCTCACTTTCCCTCTCACGGTTTCTCTTTCTGGTTAGTGCTAGCACCCTAAGGCAAAAAACCCTCTGGGAATAATAATAATAATAAAAAATAGATTTGTGAACAATTAAAAAATAAGAGAGAATGAAATATAAGTTGGTAGATCTAAAATATGATTTTACTCAGAGGATCACAAGGAGAATAAACGAATGTCCCTTCTGAAAATAGTATTACATACTCCTGTAAATGGAAGATGGTGTGAATGGTATAGAAATGCATATCCAGAGAAGATTTAATAAGCTAACAATTCTTTTCTGGTATGGCTGCTTTTGCCAGTAGGGAAGCAGCCTTCCATGTATCCATCTTGAATGGAGACATGTTTCCACTGCTTCCTAATATGCAGCAACATTTCTTCTCCTCTACAGGCTGCAAGAAAGTCTACACTTATGCAACGGCTATGTCAGGACTTTTGGTAATATTGATCCACAAAATGAAGATTGAATATGCTTTATTTTTTCAAAACACACCTTATCTTTTAGTTGAGGAAATGGTGGCTTTTTTTTTTTTCAATTTTTTTTTTTTTTTTTTTGGTAATATTGATCCACAAAATGAAGATTGAATATGCTTTATTTTTTCAAAACACACCTTATCTTTTAGTTGAGGAAATGGTGGCTTTTTTTTTTTTTCAATTTTTTTTTTTTTGCACTAAGTACCAGCACATTTCAAAAGGATTTACCAGATGTCCTTAAAATCCATACTTCGAACAAAACCCAGCATCTTTTAAAATGCATCAATTGAATTGATTTCAGTTTCTACAAGACTCGGCTCAAACATGAACCAATTGTTTTCAGTTGATTCCAACTTCCTAACAGGTTCTGTAGCAGCAAATACAGCAGGCAGAGTGGATGTTCACAACAAATCCTGGGCACTGAGCTCTTGTCTTCCTGATCAAGGGGAAAACACCATCACCTTTGGAGTGTTCCTGTTCAATTGCAAAAAACAGACCTCAGGACCATCAGCACCGTGCATTTTCTGGGCACCAAATATTTTCAAAGACATTTTATGAATGGAAATAAATGACTGGCTTGTGAGTTATTGTTATATGTTAAGTTTCTTTCTCTGTGGCATCCTTTCTACAACAATAGACATTGTAACCATTTTCTTTCTGTATAACAATGGGTTTATATTTTTTATCACTGATCATGAGAGTGGACATTATTTTTAGCACATCTATCTCTTCATATTTTAAAGACTTGTTTTTCCATGTTCTGCAGCTCTTCTGGAAATCTGAGTAGATTTTGGTCTTTCTACTCAGTTGTAACTTAAGCCTGGCAACATCAGACTGCTGATCTAGTATTAAGAGATATAAACTGTAATAAAGAAATTATTATATGGAAGATCACCGAGAATAGAATGTGCATTAGTGGATAATATTTCTTGCTTTCATTGTTACCTCAGAAAGTCTGGTTTCAACCATTAAAAGTTGTTCTTCCTGAAATTCTGTGCTTTGCCTACTTCTTTTTTTTGAAGAGGTTTTTGCTACAGGGCGCATGTGCTCACCAGAAAGACAGCAAGAGACAGAGACAGAAAGTGAGAAATCATCCCCCAGAGGGGATGGCCATGCCACAATCCCTTCTCCTCCATTCTCCTCTCGGGATCTTAGGCACACATGCACACATTCCCGATGTGAGTTTAAGCTACCAGGTCTGGGACTCGAACTGCAATTGGCTACATGGGAGACTAGTGCCCTAATCATTACACCATCTGCTGATCCCACTTTGGCTACTTCTTGCGTCAAAAAATGCTTACTTACTTCCACTTACTGTTGGAAGTACTCTATCTGAATCCATCTTTCTTTATAGATCCATATTTCTTTTTTTTTTTGAGAGGTTTTTGCTATAGGGTGTGTGCACTCGCCAGAGAGAGACAAAGAGACAGAAAGCGAGAAGTTGCCCCCCAGATGGCCATGCCATGCCACAAGCCCTTCGCCGCCATTTCCCGCTCGTGATCTGGAGCATGCACACACGCGCCCAGTGTGAGTTTAAGCCACCGGGTCCGGGACTCGAACCACAGTCGACTATGTGGGAGTCCAGCGACATAGCTATTACGCTGCTGGTCCCTAGATCCATATTTCTTTTGTATATGTTTTCCTGAATTCAATATTGGCCACTTTCTCCTAAGGTAATTTATTTCCTTTACATTTGAAAACAGATCTTTATTAGGAAAATTATAAGTGCAAATACATCTTTTCCTCCATATGACTTCAAAGTAGAAATCATTTCTCAAAGAGTTGTTACTTATTAAAGAAAAGGGGGGGCGTACAGCAGGTGGTGGTTAAAGGCGCTGGACTCCCACAGCCTGACTGTGGCTTGAGTACCGGGCCTGGTAGCTTACTTTCTCACTTTCCCTCTCTGTCTCTTACTCTGGTCAAATTAAAAATAAATAAATAAATAAAAAGTTAAAATAATTCTTTTTTTTTGAGAGTATAAAATAATTCTTACACTCATACATATACTGCAGGAAACTGCCTTCTAGATAATTTTCACATTATCTGGGAGATATAATTTAAACAATATGAAATACTCTATCACACTTAATGCTGAACCTGTACACAGTCGTACACAGACTGGGATTCCAGCTAGGTTCCAGAGTAATCAATGTTACCTGGTTTTATTAGCTCGGCAACTTCAGTGGTCTGCTTGTGGGGGGTCTAGCAGTTTCTAGGGAGTATTTCCCAAGGAAGAGTCAAGGAAGCTGTCTGGAGTCCCCAAGGAGGCTCCAACCTTTTGCTATTCAGATAATTTATTTTTAGTTATTATTATTGCCATGGGATTTCATGCATTCCAGAAAGACAGAGACAGTGAGAGGAAAAGTAAGAAATCACACCCTGGGATGGATGGCCGTGCACACAATTCCTTCTCCTCCATTCTCCCCCTGGGACTTTGGGCATGCATACATATATGCCCAATGTGAATTTTAAGTTACCAGATCCAGAACTCAAACTGTGGTTGGACATGTGGGAGTCCAGAGCCTTAACCACTATTTCACCTAGTGGCCCATCCTAGAGTAATTTTTTAAAACCAGCTAGAAGAAGAGTAAAAAGGACATCTGTTTTTATCATTTATTATAGTAATATTTGAATAAAGTACTATAAAATTCTTTGGTTTTTATTACAAAACCACTGATAGGTAGTCCCACATTATTTAGTAAAGGAAGTTTCAATTAATGCAGAGAGCATTAGTCCTAAAAAGCCAGAATAATAAGAAAAGGTGGGCCAAATTCTGTGTTTTCTGGTTTTTTTTTGTTTGTTTTGCTTGTTTGTTTTTTCCTATAGAGCAATACAGAGCAGAAGAACAGTAACTACTAAAATAAAGAGTAACGGCCTCCTCATGGTAACTGCGAGGGAAAATGTTGAAAATTTCTATTAAAAATCCAAAATCAAGACACTCTTTGGAAGGATCTTTTCAATCTCTGAAGATATGGCATACTCAGTGCCTTTCCTTTTAACTGTGGGAGGGGGAAACTTAGTAACCCATTTGATATTTACATAGATGAGTTTCTGGTTATCCTCCTCCGATAAATAAGAAATCTATTCTGTTTCCTTTCTATTAAAATTTTTTTGGACATTTTAATCCAAGGTATATAAAAGAGACTTTTACATTCTTTTTTTTTTTTTTTGGAGAGGTTTTTGCTATAGGGCGCGTGCGCTTGCCAGACAGACAGAGAGAAAGACATAGAGACAGAAAGCGAGAAATCACCCCCCAGGGGGGATGGTCATGCCGCAATCCCTTCTCCTCCAGTCTCCTCTCGGGATCTTGGGCACACATGCACACATGCCCAGCGTGAGTTTTAAGCCACTGGGTCCAGGACGTGAACCGCAGTCAACTACGTGGGAGTCCAGCGACATAGCCATTACGCTAACTGCTGGTTCCCAGAGACTTAAATTCTTGAGATATGCAATTTTGAAATATATAAAATTGGTACTATTATAAAGAATTAGCGAAAATACACATCCACCTCATGGAAGATACTATGGATATCATTTTATCCCATATCTCAGTGTGCATCTCATGGCATTAGGGGAAAATTTAATTTATGTATTCCATATTGTGTGGTTAAATGCATGTATACTCTAATCTTTATCATTCTGTGATATTTCTTTTCCCAAGTTCTTAAAATATGTAAAAGAGGAAAGGCAATCCTTATTTGAAGAAAAGGAGATAACATTACAAAATACACAGGAGGGAAATAATTCTTTTAAAAATGGATTTTTTTTTTATATGAAAAGCTGGGATTTCAGCAAAAGTAGAGTAAAATGGCAGAATAGTATTTTCTGGCAATTATTCCTCCACAGAAACATAGTTTCACATGCGTGTGTTTATTTATTCAAATTGATATATCTTCCCAAAAGCCAAATAAGCCAGATGAGAGATCACAGTACCTGGTTATAATATAGTAATTATAAAAGAGGGTAGGAAGGAGTTTTATACTCCCCATATGTCTTCCCTCACTCAGCTCCAGACAGCACAGTGCAGAGAAATCGTATGGGTGGGAAAAAGAAGAGTACATATAGGACTTAGCCCTGGACTCCAACACCAGGCAGAGCACCATGGCCCCTTACTCCAGGTCAGTACCCAAACTGAGCCCCTCGACCTGCTCCGAAGCCAAACAAGAACCAATGGCCCTTGTGAGGCAGGTTCAAGCTGCAGTCTATGTCACTTCTAGTGGACTACAGAGACCTTGGACTCCATATAAACCTTGACAGCTGGCTGGTCTCCCTGGCCGTGGGGCTTCAGAAGAACCCTGGTACTATGGATGCCCCAGTACAATCAGTAATAAAATCAAAACAGCGATAAAAAGTCTCCGATCAAAGAAAAGCCTATAATTTGATGCCTTCTCTGCTGAATTCTACTATACATTTAAAGTAAAAGAATTCTTTTCAAAAATCTCACAAAAAATTAAAGAGGGAATCCTTCTAAATTTGTTTTATTAGGCCAGGATTATGATACAAAGACTAGATAAGGACACAACAACTAAAATGTCAGTCCAATATTCAATTCTACTATACATTTAAAGTAAAAGAATTTTCTTTTCAAAATCTCACAAAAAATTAAAGAGGGAATCCTTCTAAATTTGTTTTATTAGGCCAGGATTATGATACAAAGACTAGATAAGGACACAACAACAACAAAAATGTAAGGCCAATATTCCTTATGAGCACGGATACAACGATTCTCAACAAAACATCGACAAATCAAACTCAGCAGCACATTAACATGATCATTCAACCATGATCAAGCGACTTTGATCCCAGGGATGCAATGACGAGTTTACTATAACAAATCAAAAAGCATGATATATTAATAGTATAAAGGATGAAATCACATGATCTTGTCAACAGATGCAGGGAGAAAAGAAAAAAAATCTTCAACGAATTCAACATCTGTTTATGATTTTACAACTCTCAACATATTATATATAGGAGGAAAGTATCACAACAGAGTAAAGGCCATGTATAACAGAGCAACCGCATTCTCAATGAGGAAGGATGTTTAGCTTTTCCTCTAAGATCTCGAGCAGGAAAAGAATGCTTAGTTCCACTGCTTCTATTCAACATATACTGCAAGTTATTGCCAGCGTAATTAGGTAAAAGAAAGAAAGAAAGGCTTCTGAAATG